AGAGCCATAATCATATAATATTATTCTGGCATACGTTCACTGTATGTATACAGGTATTCCAGAGTCGTGGTAATTAAACAGGTGAAGAGTCAGTACAGTCAGCCAGCATAAACAAAAAAATAAGGCAAGGGTCAAAACACAGCAAGGCAAAGGAAAAACGTGTTGTAATGTTCACAGACAGTTAAATAAGACTCAGCCACTAGTGTTTGTGACTATGCTGCTTTTAAAGTCCATGTAATCAGTTCTGAACAGCTTCAGCTGTGTGTTAGCAGTCAGCGGACGCCCGGTACAGGTGTGTGTGGTGCATGACTGGATCCTGTAGTCCATGTAAAAGCAGATTTTTAGTCCTTTAGCGATCTGTGATTTTAGCAGCGATCTGTAAGGATTGCGTCGCTGGTGATTGTGACAGTTTCTATACAATGTTTTTTTTATAAATGAAACATTTGATGTTTTACAATGTGACTGCAGTGCAAACAGTTATGTTGGACTTTCATATAATTTTTGATCTACACGAATCACTATTGTGCCCTTGCACATTCTACAAATATCTTTCAACATGTACAAAAACAGTAACTGCTCACTGGCATGGCAGACTAGCACACAGGACAAATCTTCACCTCCCCCAAAAAAAAGGTTGGTTGTTAATTTTAGTTATTTTCGGCGCTAATTAACCATTGATGAGTTTACTACACTTATGGTCAGAGAGATGTGCACCGCATTTATCATACATCACAAATTATCAGTGTTTTCAATCACAAAACACCTATTTTAGGTTTCAGGCACTAAACCAACTATTTGAAGTACATAAAATACACTCACCAACTACTTTATTAGGAACAACTTACTAGTACCAGTTTGGACACACTTTTGCCTTCAGAAGTGCCATAATTCTTTGTGGCATAGATTCAACAAGGTACTGTAAATATTCCTCAGAGATTTTGGTCTTTATTGACATGATAGCACCACACAGTTGCTGCAGATTTGTTGGCTGCACTGAGTTGTTGCCATGTGTATGGCTGAATAGAAATTTACTTTAATGAGCGGTTGGACACGTGTACTTACTAAAGTGGGTAGTGAGAGTACACTGCAGGTTGTCTGTCTTAAAATAATGATAACATTTAACATAATTTGAGGATGTGCTTTATTCACATTACATAGTATACACATTGTTTAAATAATTAGACATTGTATGCTGTGTTGTACTTTTGTGCATCTTGGTCATTTAGGACCATGATATTGGTCATATTTAGAACAACAATGTGAACAGCTATGGGGAAATTCATCCATCCATCCATCCATCCATCCATAACATTGCTGTTTGTCAGCAAGGTTTGTATAATTTAGCATTTTAAATCAGTTTTTATTTCAATCCTTTTTTTTTTTTTTTTTGAGCACATTTAGTTTTATTCATTTTGTTAATTTTGTTTTGTTAACACTTTTCATTTAGTTTTTATATATTTAGTTTCAGTCATAGTTTACGTTATTTTACACTGTAATATATCATACATTTATAGTTTTATGAATATTTCATGCATTTTTTGATGTATGAAAAACGTCGTCTACACTACATATTAAATGGGCTGAGGGTGACATTACAAGCAAACTTCATTTTTGGAAGAACTGAAAAAAAAAAAAAAACATATTTGTGAATAAAGCCACTGTATTTTAGACAGTCTGAAATATCTTGTATGTGTGCTTGTTGTTGTGTTACCTCATTGTAAGCTGAAAGCTGTTGTTTTGAGGACATTATCATTGCCATTCATGGATCCTGGTTTGAGGCCAACAGGTTTAATGGCCCAGTTCAGAATCAATTTGACTTTTTCACAGGTTTAAATGTTTCAAGGTACCATTTCAGGTGAAGCAACTTACCATGAGATCTTGTTCTAGTGAATTTAAGAAGGTTTGAAATGAAGAGATAATAATTTAATAGATGTTCGCTTGCTATCTGAAGCAAGAAAAGGGGGAAATGTTTGATTAAAATGATTAATCAAGTAATTTTAGAAAATATAAGGTAATACTGGGGGCAGAGCAATGACGCAGTGGATATCACTGTCTCCCCACAGGAAGAAGGTCCCTGGTTCGAGCCTCGGCTGTGTCAGTTGGCATTTCTGTGTGGAATTTGCATGTTCTCCCTGTGTTCTTGAGGGTTTCCTCCGGGTGCCCCAGTCCAAAGACATGCGCTATAGGTGAAGCTAAGTTGTCCGTAGCATATGTGTGTGAATGAGAGTGAATGGGTATTCTTGCTTAGTCTCTCCATGTTTGACCATTACCCTGGTCTTTTGTTTACGTTGTCTGCCACCTGAATTGACAATTTACCTGTGACCTGACTACGCTTCCAGAATTCCCTTTATGTATGTATTTGTTCTCCCCTGTGTTTGACCGTTGCCTGTCTATGACTCCCCATTTAATTCAACATAAACTACCAATCAAAATCCAGAAGTCTTCTTTTTTTATTATTATTAAGGTAAAGCAAAAAGCATTTATTATTATTTTTGTTGTTGTTTTTTATTGAAATAAATAAAAAATAAACAACCATAAATGGTTTTGTATTATGATAATACAAGTTCTTTATGAAACTGTTTGTATGCTAGACTATTTTGAA